AACTAACCAAACATATGTAACCCATTGAGTTGGTGGGTTTGATAAAGCCCAAATAACAAACGATATGTTCATTGAGTTATTGAGCTCCAGAACTAAGTCACACGTCCTTCTCAATGGTACCTGAAAGCGCTCCTACTCCAGCATTTCCTGCGTGTTCTCGCTCCAGTTTTTCCTATAGTTAATAAATGTGGATTTTGTTGATCGGTGAAGTCGGCAAATTAGATTTTTATCATATCAATTATGCCCTCGAAACAAATTCAATTACCTAAACATGTTATATGAACTACAGTAGTAAGGTGGTGATATTATAAAATTTCTGGTCAACAATGACATTATTGTGCGGTTCACATATCGATGTCCGAAATCACCTTGCTTCCCATGTTACATTATTATTATTCCAAATGTGAGAAGTACTGTGAATATAATAGACAGACAAAATCTTATTTATTTTTCAAACAATATTAGCGTACAGAAAAATTTATTAAAAAAATTGTAAAAAAGTCATGCCTTTTATTTTATATAGGACCATTAAATCATATCAATAAATAAAATATAGCATGTTCCTCCCTTGATAGGTTTTCATAATTGTAAGAATTCTTTATAATTCTCTTAATAAGAAAAGATTATTAGTCCTAAAAGTCATTATAATAATATTTAGGGAAGAATATGTGAAAATAATAGGAAACAATAGTATAAATACTTTCATATTAGATAAGGTTTGAAGTAAAAAAAAAATGAAATAATTGTATAAAAAATGTGGGGCTTTTTGGTATACGTTTTATTTTTGACGTTTTGTTTTAACTTGAAACAAAATAAATGCATTGAATAATAATAGGAAGCCGACATCTATTTGTTACAAGATTTTTGGAAGTAAAAATATGATAAAATAAAAAATAAAATAAAATAAAAAAAAAAAAAGTGTTGCAAGTTTGAAAAATATAATGGTTAGTTTAAAAATGTCATTTAAGAGTTTTTTTTTAAAAAAAATATTGTTAATCGCTACAGTACCAAACACTACATTACAAAAACATATAAAAATACCAAATTAGTATTTTAGTTTTTGACCACTATTCACGAAAGGCTTTTTGACCACTATCCAAAAGAGGTTTCAGCACTGTGCAAAACGTAACAGTTTTCACCAAAAACATTTTTCTTCACCGTTCACTACTACAATAGTATGCAACAAAAATAAAAACATCAAAAACAAAATGCGTACAAGGCCCATGTTAACATTTGAGCTTTAAAAATTAGTGAAAAAAAAGATATATTTTATTATTATTTGGATAAATAAATTGAAAATGATAGGAGATCAGGAGGATATATTTGTTGACTCCTTTAACAATATTTTATTAGTTCTCCTAACGGTGAAACGAGATAGAGGGAAAATAACAAGTAGGATAATTTTTTTTTGGCAGTATGGAGGCATAAATTTAAATTCAAAAAGGCATATAAATCTTGAAACAAATCAAATAAATGAAGAACCAGGTGTGGAAGAAACAGCGTCCAACACTCTATAAATGAAACCACCATGAGATAACGCAACAAACAGGAAAGACTAAAAGGTCTCGCCATCAATACGGCAACCGCTTCAAAATTACAACCACAAAGCGCTCTAACACTCTAGAAACCCTGCACAAGATTAAATAAGGAGAAAAATATTAAATCGAGGCGAGAAAAACTAGTCGGAAAAAATAACAGATCTGCCCATGTAATTCGAAAACAAACCGAACATGAACAGATCTAGCCGAACAAAACAAAAAACGACGTAAAAAAACATCCATGAAGCACACTTATTAAAACACGTTGAGTTTATTGTAATTGTAAAAGGCGGTCTTTATTTCTCTACTCCCGTAGAATGGAGCAGTGAGGCAAAGTGAAAAAGACGAAGCGCGGGGGGGGGGGGGGGGGCGCGGTAAACAAGTAAAAAGTTTATTAAATTCAAATTCAAACGTATATTAATTTTCTAAAGACTGTATTTTGTTGATTTGACGCAAGGGGGGGGGGGAGGAGTGGGATTGATTTGACGCAAGTTCTCTGCGATTAGGAATAATTTATTTTGGCAATTTTGTTTGCAGCGAGTGGGATTGATTTGATGCAAGTTCTCTGTGATTAGGAATAATTTATTTTAATAAAACAAAAAAACGTAAACAAGTAAAAAGTTTATTAAATTCAAATTCAAACGTATATTAATTTTCTAAAGACTGTATTTTGTTATTAGTGTTCTTAAAAATTAAATTTTGTTGGAAATTAAATCAAACGAACTCTATTCGTCCATACATTGGTAATAATTAAATTCTTATTTACCTTGAATACGTACGTAATTAAAGCATTCATTTATTCTTTTCTCTCTCCACTTTTTTTTTTCATTTTTAATTCTTGTTATTAGTATTATTATTATTTTTCCATATCTCCAAATTAAAAAAAAAAGTATGTTATCTGGATAGAGTTGAAAGACTTACCCCACAGGGCATGAAAGAGACGTCCACCTTGACCTTGTCCGGTATCGTGTCCCTCTCCTACAAATCACAAAGCAACACAACTTTAACCCGTAACACAAGGAGTGGGCAATGCGCATACATCTCTTTCACCGATCACCACCATAAACCCACACACAACAACGATAAAATTATATAATTATATATATATATATATATATATATATATATATATATTTTGTCAATGTTCGGCGGTACTAGAGATATAACTATAATTATATATAAATTATATATATATATTTTGTCAATGTTAGGCGGTACTAGAGATATAACTATAATTATATTGACAAAACAAGTCTCTCTGTCTATAATTTCTAGATGGATTTTCTCCGCAATTATCTCTCTCAACAGCCAGCGTCGGTAGCAGCTTAATTCCTGGCACCCTTTTGCACATTACACATAAATACATGGTTAATTTTATTGACATGCATTATGTTTAACAAAATATCACATTAAATTTTTTTTTGAATATTATTATTATTCACATTACTTTTTTTACTCTCACACTTCAAAAGTTAATTTTTAAGAGCATCTCTAATACAAAAATGTTATATTTTCATATCAAATTTATATTTTAAGAATTGTTACAGTATCAAAATGCTATATTTTTGTAATTATGCGTGCATTTCATTAAAAATGTTATTTTTTTACACAACAACTGTTCCATGTTTTAAGATTCAATTGGAATGCCTTATTTTCATTTTAGCAACTTTTGACAATCTTAAAATATGATTGGTCATTTGAGAGAGTCCATTGGAATATCTATTTTTATTCACTTGTTATATTTTGAATTTGAAAGTCTATTTAAGAGTTACTATATTTGAGAATACATTTAAGAATTTCAAAATATGAAAAGCCATTGGAGTGTCTTATTTTTATCTACCTATTATATTTTGAATTTGAGAGCCCATTTGTGAAGCCATTGAAAATTCTCAAATAGTGTCAGAACTCTTTTTGCATGTAAAAAAGGACATTGCTACCCTTATGACTTTATGTTGACTTAAAAGTATATTGTTTCTATATAAAATGACATTTATATCCCCTACTGGACCCATTTCCTCAATCCTTTCCTCTCTCTCTCACACACACACAGATATATTATCTCCCTTTCTTTCTCTCTCTATGAAGAATGAACGGCATATGTAAAAACTCTTTTTTTTTTTGGAAGATTCAACAAAGATAATGAATCCAAGAAAATTGAATTTTTATAGATATTTATGTACTAAGAAATAAATTGAAAAGAATAAGATATAAAGTATATATACACAATTACCGATCAATAATAATATATTATTATAATACATTTGGCTTATACAACATTAATTTTCCATTAATTCCTCGTTAACATACCCTGTTTGTATCTTCTAAAGACTTTTGGTCATATTCCAAGTTAGAGAGTGAGAGATTTGTATGCAAATTAATTTATTATGAAATAAAATCTCCACTCGGTGATGTCATTTTCGGAGTTAGAGAGTGAAAGGTTCGTATGCAAATCATTGGTGAATAAAATTTTCAATCCTTGATGGAAAGTCTTCAAATTCAGGCCTTCAAAATCATCATAGTATAGGATAAAAAATGATTCTTACATCGAATAATTGTAATAAATTGTTAGACATACTCTTTTAACTGCATATATAATATGTGTGTGATCTATATTATATATATATATATATATATTATATCATATTATATTATATGTGTGTGGGTCTACAGTTGAAGCTTTTGGACATTGGGTTCACCATTACTATCTCTACATACACACACACACATAATGATGGCAAATTTGTCATTTAAATATGTTGATATTTTGAATTAAAATAGATTAAAAAAATAGGATAAAATTGTTATTTTGTACTTTTATAACCGTAAAAGTGACCGATAAGTGACTTGGAATTGAGTAATTTTTGAAAGATGTTTTCGTATAAAATTTGTCCAATTCATATTTCTAAGTCATTTTTATACTAAAGTCCCAAGTCATTTGGGATAAGTCATTTTTTCTTTTAAAGGATTTTTTTTTTTTTTTTAAAGTTTTTCTAAGTGAGTCTAATTAGAGATATATATATATTTTAGAAGTTTGTCAATATTTTATACTCTTTTTTATTTTATAATTTTACTTACCTTCCATTATGTAACATATTTCCTATGCAACAAATTCTCTTGCCACTAGAGCGAGAACGTTAGAAAGATGAATTTGCACTTTTAATGTCTAAAATATCAATCATATTTAGTCTTATGTGAATAACGGTAAAATAAAATTAGTGAGATTATGAAACCGCCTATATAAAATAGGAATATTGACAAACCTCTTAAAGGAAGTAGAATTTTGTCTTATTTTTAGGAATCAATCAAAGTAAAAGATCCTAATGTTGATAATAAAAAATGAGAGTGGGACTATAGTATAAGTACAGCAAACGTGAAACGTGCGTGTGTGTATGTAATAATACATTCCTCCATATATAAGCGGTATGATCTGATTGGTTTAGTTGGTTAACGATGCATCGGTGGCAATCCTCAATCAACTTGAGTTGATGGTGAGAAAGTTAAAAAGGATTTTATGTAATCAAAGCCTTTTAAGATTGTGGAAGCAGACAAAGAAGCAGCAGTGTAGTGGATATACACTGGTATATAGACCAGCCCTCTTTACATATAGTAGTATCACTTACATAGCATACCAGTGATATAGTGTGAGATGGAGAGTACGTTGAAGGAGATGAGAGATGGTGCGTCTTCGCTTGACATGTACCCAAAGCAGACCGTCGCCGGTGGCGTTGGGGACGTTTACGGTGAGGATCGTGCCACCGAGGACCAGCTTGTCACCCCCTGGACCGTCTCCGTCGCAAGGTAAACCCACCCGCGGTCATTCAATTTCTCACATAGCATGACCATCTACTTTTTATATACAAGAAGAGAATTTATTCAATTTGAAGTGTGCTTATTTCAATTGTGTTGATTTCACATTCAAAAGCCTCTAATTAATTAATTTACCATATCATATCATCACTTCCATCTAATTTTGTTGATGAATCTTCCGCTGGAATTTTTTTTTTCCTTTTTTAATTTCTTATTCGTAAACTTTTTCCAATTTTCTTCTCTCTCAAAATCATGATGCTTACTGATCTGCCTTAGTTAATGCTCTCAAAATAAGAAAATTAGAGATATGTTGGAATTGCTAATTATAGATTTCGACCTCTTGATTTGATGGGTGCAGTGGGTACACTTTGATGAGGAACCCAACCCATAACAAGGGGCTTGCATTTTCTGAGAAAGAGAGGGATGCTCACTACTTGCGTGGTCTGCTACCTCCTGTGGTTATAACTCAACAGCTTCAGGTTACTTATTTTACATTATTATTTCACTTCTGCCCTCTGTTATTTTTTCATTCAAGTTTCTGATTTTTCTTCAACTCTTTTCCTATATTTTACTCATCAGGAGAAAAAATTGATGCACAATATTCGCCAATACCAAGTTCCACTGCAGAAGTACATGGCCATGATGGATCTTCAGGTATTATCTCATTAACCCATTACTCTTGTTGATTGGAGCATAGCCGCCACTCTTGATGCTGCATAATTCTATTTAGATTCACATAGAATCCAAATTGAGTATGTTTATTTTTTCAATATCATTTGGAATTAGAATTTACTTTCATTTTAGCATCATTTTTTTTTTTTTTTTTTTCCTTTTTTCCTTTTTCCACTGAGGTGTTGGGGTGGGGAGGAAATTGGTTGATGCGTAGTGAACCCCTTTTTTTACTTAAGAATTGAATTTATGCGTATAGGAAATTAATATAAAATGGACGATTTCATATAATGTAGCATTTGAACACCCACCAAATGAATGGAGGAAGTGGGAGTATCTGCTCTAATTTTGTTTGTTCTTTCTAATTGTTGTGGTTCACAGGAGAGGAATGAGAGGCTGTTCTACAAACTTCTTATTGATAACGTTGAGGAGCTCCTCCCAGTTGTCTACACTCCAACCGTGGGTGAGGCTTGCCAGAAATATGGGTGCATTTTTAAGCGGCCTCAGGGTATCTACATAAGTCTGAAAGAGAAGTAAGACTATTTGTTTCAGCTATACTTATATACTAGGCTTACAAGTAATTCCATCTTAACGTGGGAAGTGGCTGGCTTTTGCAGGGGAAAGGTCCTTGAGGTTTTGAAAAACTGGCCCGAGAGGACCATTCAAGTCATTGTTGTGACGGACGGTGAGAGAATTTTGGGACTTGGGGATCTCGGATGCCAGGTAATGTGCATTTTCTTTTGATTTTATTCTGTATGTATTTTAGATGTCGAATTCCCAGGTTTATTATAAAATTAGAATTGCAGTCTCTTCATGTGACAATGTTTAAACTCTTATCAGGGGATGGGGATACCTGTTGGGAAATTGTCTTTGTATACAGCACTTGGAGGAGTTAGACCTTCAGCGGTATGCATCACAACAATAAAACTGCCATTTTTGCTTCTTGATATATATACCTTGTGTTACAGATAGATGCTTCCATAAGCACAATCCATTTTTTCCCCTTTTTAATCAAGGTCTCTAATTTTCTTATGCAGTGTCTGCCTATAACTATTGATGTGGGGACGAACAATGAGAAGTTGTTGAATGATGAGTTTTACATTGGGCTCAGACAAAGGAGGGCAACTGGGAAGGTCAAAAGATTATTTTGCTGAACTAAATTACAAGCAATTGAAGTTTAAAATTTAACTATAAATTGTGTAATTCTTTTTAATGCTGAAGCAATACGGACTAATTTTTGTTCAGGAATATGCTGACCTTCTTCATGAGTTCATGACTGCTGTCAAGCAGAACTATGGTGAAAAAGTTCTCGTACAGGTTAGTCGTTAATCCCAAACAACAACTATATTAAAGTTTCGGAGCTTGAACTTTGAACTTGTTTATGCAGTTCTAATGCTGGTTACATTTTTTTATCCATACTACAGTTTGAAGATTTTGCAAACCACAATGCTTTTGATCTACTAGCAAAATACAGCACTACTCACCTGGTCTTCAATGATGATATACAAGTATGTGGTGGCATGGTGGTGGATCAGGTCCTTGCCAGGGATCATACATTCTTGTCTAAATCTTTTTCTTCGTTTGTTCCAGGGAACAGCTGCTGTGGTTCTTGCAGGGCTTGTCGCATCGCTCAAGTTACTTGGCGGTACCTTGGCTGACCACACATTTTTGTTCCTAGGTGCTGGGGAAGTAAGACTATAATCTCTGCCTCATCTCCTTCTAATATTGCCACCCTGAGGAATAATAAAAAAAATTAACAAATTGGGTATTGTAAAATAGTAAGCAAAATAAATTTAACAGCCCTTAATTTAATCATTGGGCAGAGGGTAACTGAAAAACCAATACACACTTAATATATATGAGATATACATCAGAATTCACAAGGGAAAAAGAAAAACTGAAAACCATTCTGATGAATTACAAGTTTTTATTCATTCTTTCTTTCTATTTCATTTATTTATGTTCACCACCTTTGTTGTTGGGCATGTTTACTCTCTATCTATATCTTTTACCCTGCACTAAATATATATGTTAATACGGATAAATAAATCCCGATCCATATGAGATAAAGGCAAGGATGATGATAATGATGAGGCATAATCAATAAGAAAAAAAGAGAGTACATAATTAAATTTATCTATCTTACCTGTTCCTCGGATTATGCAGGCTGGTACTGGTATAGCAGAGCTTATAGCTCTTGAGATGTCAAAACAGGTATTAACTTGCTACCATTGCATGGTTGTCTCTGGTTACGCAAGTCCAATCTCTTTACCGATTAGTGATTAAATTCTACTAATTTGTTTTTACTTGTCTTCTATAGATAAAGGCTCCATTGGAAGAGAACCGTAAGAAGATCTGGCTTGTGGACTCAAAGGTATTAAAAAATCAGTTCAAAATTTCTATGTAAACAATGAATATTTACCCTTTGACAGCAATTTTGAATATTTTTTGGGTGACTATCTTTGCATTTAAGAGTGTGTAAATTCTCTTGCAGGGATTAATTGTTAGTTCTCGTAAGGATTCCCTCCAGCACTTCAAGAAGCCTTGGGCTCATGAACATGAACCTATTCGTGATCTCTTAGATGCTGTCAAGGTTTGACAAACTCTCACTATGTCGATGTTTCTTAGAGGGCAATTTCTTGTAATTCTTGGTTTCTGATTCATTTCGGATCTTCATCAGGCCATCAAACCAACAGTTCTAATTGGAACATCCGGAACAGGAAGCACATTTACAAAGGAAGTGATTGAGGCCATGGCTTCTTTTAATGAGGTACCCTCTTCTCTCCCTCTCCCCGCTACATATTTTGGTCTGAAATCACTTTATAAATAAATGTAATGTCTTGCAGAAACCTCTCATTTTGGCTCTCTCCAACCCAACTTCACAATCTGAGTGCACAGCTGAAGAAGCTTACAATTGGAGTAAGGTAATTAATTAGCCTTTTGTTCCTTATCTCCAACTTCCATGAAGATTCTTTATGCAAAACGACGCTTAATTATTTTATATATTAATATAAAACTAACCTTTTGTTTCCTCTTTTCCATTGCAATGCAAGGGTCGTGCAATGTTTGCCAGTGGAAGTCCATTTGACCCTGTAGAATACGATGGCAAAGTTTATCTTCCTGGCCAGGTTTGAAAAACTTTAATTTATTTAATTTAAGGGTTTTAGTCTCCTTCATACATATGGACTGACATCAGACACTGAACTTGATGCTTTTTTTATTTATTTTAAATTCAGGCAAATAATGCTTATATTTTTCCTGGACTTGGTCTGGGTTTGGTCATGTCTGGTGCAATTCGCGTTCATGATGACATGCTTCTGGCAGCTGGTAAGTACATAATAAATTACAGTGATGAGACCCATTCTTATTTGAATAGGACTTACGCAGGCTGATTAAAGATAGAAAATACTCTTTTTCTTTTCTTTCTTTTTTCCCTTTTCTAGCTGCACAAGGTTTTAATTCATCCAGAGAAATGGCCGTGATGTTCTTTTTATCCATTGAATAAGATAAACCGAGAATACCTTGGTTTTGTTTATTCCCTCATCATGTGAGCTCATGCATTCATGTGATTGCATTTTTCTCATTTTGAACAGCTGAAGCGTTGGCTGGACAAGTTTCAAAGGAGAACTTTGATAAGGGGTTGATTTACCCACCATTCTCTAATATCAGAAAGATCTCGGCACATATTGCCGCTAATGTAGCTGCTAAAGCATATGAACTTGGTTAGTGTTTTTTCTTGTTCTGTTTTGGTTCTGAACTTGCAGTTTTTTTCTGGTATATATTGTGACAAATCATACATGTTCTACAGGTGTGGCAACACATCTTCCTCAACCTCAGAATCTGGTGAAGTATGCCGAAAGCTGCATGTACACTCCTAACTACAGAACTTACCGGTGATTGGTCCCTTAATCGTCAACAAACTAGTACTTCAAATTCTGTTATCTTGTTGCTTTGTCTGTTGTAAGTTCTTGTGGTGTTGTAATATGTGGTTTTGTGAGTATCATGATATTAGAGTCTGGAGGGAATAATGTTTTTTTCTGGTCGAAAACGATGTCTACTTTAGAAGGTACCGAGTAATGGTTTTCAATAATCACGGCATCTTTTGATATCTCGAGGACTACTGCATCAAGAAGTGTGTCCAAACTCCCGTCTTATATTTTCAGCGGTAGATTCAAGGAAAATCAACCAGCCTCACAGTAATGATTTATGAAAGTGTGTTTCACTTTGTCAATTCCAGAATGTATATTAATAAGCTGCATGCATACTATTTTTAAGAGTGTGGTTTAAAATGGCTTCCTTTTGACAAGTCCTTGTCGAGTGGTCCCTTGTATTATTACCTATATTGTACTTCACAATTCCACTCTACAAATAAACCTTTGATCAGTCTTATTTACTTCAGGAATGCTCTCCTCTCTTCCAATGTCTTGCATAGACATGATTAAGGTATTGGTCCTGTTCATATGAAGCAGAGTATGACTACTAGTTCTGGTAGGTACACCAAATAAAGATAAAAAACAGAGTTTTCGCTTTCAAATTCTAGAAAATACCCAAACAAAATATCTACGCCTTTCGAATATTAGTAATCCAAGTGTAACTAGAGCCTAATCAGAGCATAACCCGAGGAATCCAAATCTACCTGACTAGTTTGACCACCACAACGAACTTGAACATAGCACAAACTAAACCTGGGCTTGGGAAATATGCAATAGAATTACCAAATAGCCTTCAAGCACAAAATGCTGTCTGATATCCTTGGTTTAGAAGTTAACCGAAGTATATATTACATTACATAAGCATGTGTTCAACCTTAATAAATGTGCGATTACACATTTGTAAGCAAAAAAAAAAAAGAAAAGGATCTTGGTGTTTAACACATACACTTTCTTAGATCGCCAAATATTCCCCTAGAACATTTATTCTGTATAGAAACCCTAGAAGAAGGCAGCTAAATCCATGCTTACATTCTGTTCTGAAGCAACAAGTCCAAAATAGTTGCCAACTAAATTTGGTGTTTTTGTTATGTATCCGGATCAGCATGAGTATCCTTGTAACGCTGGAGCATGTATGTTTCACATTTGATTGGAGGGAATCTGATAGAGAAGATGTGTTAAGTCATTATGTAGCACTGGTCTCGTCTACAAGAGATAGAGAGAGACTTGAAACAAACCTCAGTTTATGGCATCATTTAATATAATTACAGCAATTCAATAAGAAATTTACAAAAAAACTAAATAAAAGAGCTCCATCACAACTTCTAGGGGCTTCTTTATTTTCATTGATGCAATCAACAATGATATTGGAGTCATTTTTTTTTTTTTTTTTTTTTTTTGATTAGTATGATATTGGAGTCATTATATGAGGAATATATGAATAGATTCACAGGCTCCTAGACCATCTGCTTTAAAATGAATTTCTGCAACAATGTTGGATGTGTGACCCAACTTTAACAACGCAATTCCTAATGAGGCCCCACCTGCACTCAGATCAGAGATTCCCTCAACCATGTACATGGATCTTAAGGTTGTGATTTTACGAGTACATTTGGGGCAAATTACTATTTTAAGTTCATGGACCAAGATTTTCATCTTACAACTGTCATTTACGTAATATGTTATTACTTTAATTCATTATTAAATTCACATTTATACGAAGATATTTTTGGGTGATGCCCAATATAGTTAACTGGGTCTGAAGAGTTGACACTTCCTTTCGAATGAAATAAGACTTTTAGTTGGAATTATGAACACCAAAATTGTGGTCAAATATATTATTGTGGTTCCACACTTACTTGGGAGGGTTATCCTTTGACTGGCAGGTCGCCAAACATTCAACAAGACAATCATGACCAGGCTCCACAAAGTAAGCAATCTGCTCGCCAGAAAGAAGGAAACAAATGTAAACCATAATCCTTTTCATATGTTATCTGGCATGAGAATATTTAAAAGAATAACATAAACAAAATACTGGAAAAAATTAAATGGAAAGTCTAAGGATTAAACCAAAATGCAAAGTCCTGATTTAAGGAAAAGTATGCCGGAAATGTCTAAACTCGTGAGCTAGTAGGCACAAGTTCAGACCATAAAGTGTTTGGTCAGGTCAATTACAGAACTTGTTTCACAATATAAACCAGCCAAATAAAGTAAGTTCAGGAAAGTTACAAGGAGACTAACAAATTTAAATGTAACCCAGTTAACTTCTAACTTCCTTGGTGTCACAGAAACCATCATTCCAATACTTGTATCTATGAGCAGAACAACTCTCCCATAGTTGGATTGGGGGGAAAAAATAATTAATTTACAGAATTACCAAAACTAGTTTAGTAAAATAAAGCAACAATACATTCGCATCATCGTATCTTAAAAAAAGACGCGTCTCTGAATTTGTGTGTTTTTGCATTAACAAGAAGAAAAATCTTAATAGACACTAATTGCGTATTCCTCTTTGATGATGTAGAAAATCTGAAATTGATATGCTGCTTCCAAAGTCTTAACTAAAATTTCTATTGGTTGTGTTATTTTCATACAATTGTGTGGCTGTTTGTATGTGAATGTGTGTGTTTGTGTGAATGCTTCCTACACACTCAAAATCCATTCTTCCTTTATGCTTTTACCATGGGCAAACTTATAAGTGGATTGAGTAAATGAATTTGGCGTGTCTCGAGTAAATATAGCAAAATTGAGGCACAAATTCATAATTATAAATTCCCCAAAGAATGTTGCACTTAGAGAACATTCAAAAGCTTCTGAATGGACTTACAGAATATCTCTCTTGACCATTCCCCAATACCCGATGCAATGTGGACCTGCATAAAATTAATGAAATGGAAACTAATGTTATAAAGAACCCCAGCCACCAGGTAGTTTGAAATCTTATGAAGATTGTCTCTAAGGGCATACAAGTTACGATAAGATCAACATCAACAGTGGTGCTGGTGTGGCAGATAATAATATAATAATAATAATAATGAACATATCGAGTAATACAAGGCAAATTAATTTGTTGCAATTAGAAGGTTCAGTACATCTCTGTGCCAACTTAATAAGGAAACCTACACATTATGACCCCAAGCCACAGCTACACATTATGACCAAACCATGTAAACAATTGTAAAAGGGATAACTAATTAACTGATATTTATTCATGCATGTGCAAATGAAAATTCTAAACGAGGCACTGTTGCCAAGCTCCTAAGTCAACCTTTTATCTCTCAATCTCAGATGGGACAGAAATAAAATTTGAAAATCAGTTAATACTTTTGGTAAATTCACATTACCTGAAAAGGCAGTTGCTCCAGCGCTCCAGCATGTCACCAACATTTACTATAAATGCTCTGAGAAGTTAGATGTAAACCATAAAGACAGTAGGACACTACAATTAAACTAAAAAGGGAAGATATTTCGTTCTATATTATATTTGTAGAAGCTCTCATGTGCGATTTCTTCTATGTAAATTCACTCCATAATAACGAAGAATGAAAAGCTGAAGGGATGGTATGCTATTGCGCAGAACAATGTAAAGATAAAATAGTGCAGGGTAGATGAGCAGAACAAGTCCAGAATAAGCATGCCCCTGCTACCAGTTAATGTCTGACTGTATATTGTGATGTGTGATACCATCATACAAAACAAACCAATAAATGTAAGATTATTTATTAATTACGTGACCCATACGTTTTGGACATGTAATATATTTTATTAATTAGTAATTAAGTAAATACGTATCAGATTAATATTATATTATTTGGTTAACTTATAAATTACCTTTATGGTAATTAGTTATTGGAAAAGTGTTTTCTTATTTATTTCATACTTTGATAGAAAGTTGAATTAAAGTTACTAAAATGAAAACTGGCTCTCTGTACCTTTATAAAAGTGCATATTCCCATTAATTATGTACGCTAATGAAAACAACACGTATAATATTTATGTGCGCAAAAGGCCAAGAGAGAGAAATCGGTTTCCATGCTTTAACTATTGCAGTTTGGCATGTTATTTGTTCCGCAGAAAAGATCTTAACGTTTGCCTTGATCTCTTCGAGTTTTACATTACAGATAGAGGTATTTATATCTAACTATTTATTTATGCATTATAAGGGAATGGATTATAAAATAAATCCTACTTATATTTAAGTCAAAGAAGTTGCACAAGCTGAATGACTAAATTGATTACTTATTATCTAAGTTAAGTCAAAGAAGCTGCACAAGCTGAATGACTAACTGGATTGGTTTGGATGGATAGGATAGGACTTTAAATATATACTTATGGTACCGCGATATGAGCTTGAGTCTCAGGATCGGCGGTTAGGAAGCGTATAGGCAGTAGGATGCGTAGCTGGCTATGTTGGTTGAGGTATACCCTGTTAGGCTTAGGTACTCATGCCCACTCAAGTGCGTTTTGCATGTTGCCTTCTATTCAGGTTGAGACCCCCTGCATAGTCCAGTAAGAGTCCTGTAGTGATATATATATATATATATATACGGATTATGTAGCTATTGTTGAATTGGTTAGAATGTATATGCGTATCGAGTCTTTGCTTGAATTGTAATAGGATAGAACTTGTTCATAGGCCTAACCCACTTCTATTTTTCAGGTATTCGCCAGTTCCAGTCTTAAACCTGATCGTGCTGAGTAGAGACTATCACTCACTCTTCCGACGACGTAGGACTTCTCTCCATGGCTGAATTGTGGATGCTCTTTTAGTTATTTATATTTCAATTGGATTTTCGTATTAGAGGTCCAATGGATGGATTCCCAAGTTGTTTAACTGTGGAAGGATTTGGATTTTATTAAGTATTTAATTTTAAAGGATTCTATTTTAGATTTTTTCCAGCTGTTATTATTTATTTTATATCCAGTTTTGTAGTCTGTGTTCATTTAAAATACTTTAATTATTTGATATTCCCTTGGGTTCAGGCTTGGGCCTGATCAACCCGTGTCTCGAATTCGAGGTGTATCACAATAATTGTGGATAAGAATTTTTTCATCCTATTTATTTTTAATTTTTTGTCTACTCAGTAAGGATCATTTCGAATTAATACTATTAAGACAAGTGAAAAGTGAAAGAATTGACCATTATGTTAATTTAGGAGGAGACAAGGCTTAAGCAGCA